GTTAAGTTTCTGCACTCAGACGCGCACAGACGCCCTTCTCCAGAGCTCTCAGTCCGCAGGAGACTGCCTTCCCAACATGTCCTCACGGCTTTCTGGAAAGGGGCTTTGTCCACAGGAAAGGTAACCTGTGTTTCCCACCGTCCTGGCGCAGCCTCCCGTTGTGTCCTGTTGGCATGCCTCTCCACACTCATCGCCTCTCAGCTTTAGATCTACTTCTCTGTCCTAGGGGCATTCAAAGATAAATAAACTCAGAAATGGAAGGAGTTTCATGGAGGACAGCTAACTGAACGAATTTCCTTTCCACAGCTGGACGGGAGAATCACCAGACGAACACGCGTTGGGTGCTCGAGGGCATGGATGCTTCTCTCTCCTCCTCAGCTGGCATTAGGAACTTTTGTGCCAGTTGCCACGCTGGCACGTAAGCACAGGGACTGCAGTCCTTTTTTCCTTTAAGGAGCTCTAGATTCCTGAAATAGCATCGGTGACAGATGTGCTGTGGTACGGTAGAGCCCAAGAGGGTTCAGCACCCAATGAATTTGGGGTTGACGAGGAAGGGTGTCTCTGAACCAAGTCTTGAAGGATGCCATGGGTGTCACGATGAGTGCACTGCAGGTGGGTGTACATGACTTGTTCGAGGGGCTATGCAGCTGGGGCTCTGGAGAGAGAGAGTTCAGGAAGATGGACCTCTCCATGCTGAGGGGATGACTTTATTCTGAGGGAATTCGAGAAACCTTGAGTGTTTTTAGAGGAAAAGGCAGTGTGTTTCGATTATCCGTTTGCACTTGTAGACGAAATTTTGGCTCATAGGTGAGCTGGGAAGCAGAGAGGACACTAGATGGGTTGCAAAAAATCCAGGTGAGGCGCCTGGCTCAGCTCAGTGGTGGCCGACTTGCTCGGCCCGTGACCTCAAAGCTTGTGAGTTTGAGCCTGCGCGTCGAGGCCTGGAGCCTGCTTGATTCTGTGTCTCCCTCTCTCTCTGCCCCTAACCCACTCCGCATTCTGTCTCTGTCTCTCAAAAATAAAAAACACATTAAAAAAATTTTTTGTTTAAAACCTAGTGAGAAAGAAGGATCTGTGAACTAAAAAGATACGTAGAGACGTGAGAACACATTCCTAAGCATTGAGGAGAAGGGCTACAAAGAACTTGGTCATGAATATGGAGAACAGGAAGGGGTCAAGGGTGTGGTGCAGGCTTCTGGCTTCAGTGGATCCAGTGTTACTCATCAAGATGGTTCCGGAGAAGGAAAGTATCGATGCTGAGAATTCAGCGGATGATGATTAATTGGGTGGGGCACGATAAATTTGAGGAGCTTTGAGGATCTAAAGAGAGGTCTGTGGGGACACCTGTGGCTCAGTTGGTTAGCGTCTGACTCTTGGTCTTGGCCGGTCCTGATCTCACAGTTTGTGGGTTGTGCCCACGGCCAGCTCTGTACTGACAGGGGCGCCTGCTTGGGATTCTCTCTGCCTCTCTGCAGCTTGTGTGCACTCTCTCTCTCAAGTGACTAAACTTTAAACAATGAAAAGGAGGATTTCTAGGATTGCCAGTGGGCCTGGGTTTCAGGCTGGAAGGTGCTACAGAAGTGGGAGTTGCGACCACTTCTTTCGGAAGTCGACATGAAGCCTAGTCTGTGCCATTCACGCTGGGTGGACAGATGTACTGACTTGACTTCTGCACATGGTGGTGAGAGTGGTCCCCAGGTGAACTTGGCCTTAGGATTGTTCGTCTCCGTATCCACTTTTCTTCTGTGCGCCCCTCGGGCTTCTTGAGTCTGGCGAATGAATCACGGTAAAGGGCCGTGAGAGACATCGGAGAAGTACGAAGGCACTTTGCCCATTATTTCATCTTCCAGGTGCCCGGGGTATGAAGCAATGGTACGCTTTAATGTAACGGCCTCTGAGGGTTACGTGGCTTTTGCCTCATAAGTGGTGAAGTTGAAGTGCGACCTAATCCTGTTCTCTATCTGCCAAGTACTTCGACATACACCAGACGGATGACTTGTTAAATCTTGGATGGGAGTTGTACTGAGGAGGGTGTTTAAGCAATGATGCGCCCAAGCGCTTGTCTGGGCGATCCTCTCGCCATCTCCCAAAAGGAGGTACTTGATATGCCCCATCCGCTTCCCTCCCTGCTGCCTGCCAGCTGGCGCTGGGATCCAGCGGCGGTGGCACCCTGTCCAGGCCGCTGTGGCCTCAGCCATCACGCCTTGTTACGACTTTCCCGGCTTCCCCTCTCTGCCTCCTCTCTGGCGCCCGGCACCCGAGATCCTTCCATTCAGGCTGGGGAGTCAGTCCTCCGCCAGAGCCTCCAGTGGTTTCTCACCTCACCTGGACAAGCTCCACCCTTCAGGGCACCCCCCCCCTGCCCAACACCCTGCACATGTTCTGGCCTCTGGCTTGGATGACCCTGTCAGCAATCCCTCACTGACCAGACACTGACCTCTGGCCATTCCCTGAACACTTCATAGCACCTTCCTGAATGACTGGGCTTGGTATTTGCTTCCCACTTCCTGCCCAGTCATTTGCCCAGGGATTCCTCACATCCAGAGCCTCTGGTTCCATTACCGTGCTTAGGTCCCTCAGGCCTTGGTCTAAACAGCAGCCTCACTGGCCTTGTCCCTTACTTCTGCCTGCTTTTCCTCCAGAGCACTGGTTTCTGTTTCATTTGTGGAGATCTGTACATGAGGTCTGATGCACGTTGGGCCTGCAGCTTATGCTATCTGGGCTGGATAGCCTGCCCACAGTGCATCTTCAGTTT